TACACATAAAACTGAACGGACAAAAAATTTGGTACGAAGAACACTAGGGAGCAAAACAAGGTAGGTACAACCAAATACACGTAAAGAAAAATAGTAGGCGGCTTACCATATAACTTTTCAAATGGAGAGACTCCAGAGGTGAGAATAGTAGGAATGGTGTTAATCAAATGAACTGCTGTCAAAATTGTTTCCCCCCAAAATGAGCTGGGAACATGTGCTGATAAAAGAAGAGAACTTTTCTTCTCTAGAATATGACGGTGTTTTCGTTCAACAACATCATTCTGCTCAGGTGTGTCAGTGCAAGAGGATTGATAAAGTGTACCATCAGATTTCAACAAATCATGAAAAAAAGTAAGAGTATATTCACCTCCCTGATCACACCGAAAATATTGAATGACTATGGAATATTGAGTACGTACCATGTTACGAAATGTAGCGAAGATGGAAAAGAATTCAGACCGATGTTTCACCAAAAATACCCAACAATACCTCGTGTAATCATCAATAAATGAAACATAATATTTGGACCCTCCTTGTGTAGGAATAAGAGTCGGTCCACATATATCAGAGTGAACAAGATCAAACGGTGCAAAAGAACAAGTAACACTTTTATTGAATGAAAATATACTAAATTTAGCCAACTTGCATCCACTACAATCAGAAATGTCATGACTTCCTAAATTACCCAAACTACCAGTCGAAGCTAAAAATTTTAAATGAGAATAAGAAACATGACCAAGACGAGAATGTCATAAATAAAAACTAGATGACTTTAGACTCAAATGAAATGAAGATAAATCGACAGTAGAAGCAGCAACAACAACATTTGGGACATGAAGCTCCTCCAACACATATAACCCGCCCTTTCTACAACCTATCCCAATCAGCTTCTTGGACTGTGGATCTTGCACAACACAACCAGAGGAAGAGAAATGAACCAAAAATACAGAATCAAATAGTTGACTGATTGAAAGTAAATTCAAAGTAAGTTGAGTAATATAATAAACATCTGAAAGGGTAAAGTTGGAAGAAATAATTGTCCCAACACCAGTTAATGACATTTGAGAACCACTGGCAGCAAGGACAGATAAAGATGGAGGAGAAATAATAGATGTAAACAAAGAAGAGTCACTAGTCATATGATATGTGGCACCTGAGTCAAAAACCCAGGCGGTTCGAGATACACCTGAAGGACCTGAGCTAAACGAACCTATAGTGGAAGAAACTGTGAGAGCACCAGACTGATAAAGAGAGAGAAACTTTTGTAGTTGATCTGCAAGCATAGTCAGGTTGGGAGGTGATGAGGCTGACTCATCCACTGGTGGTGCTACGGTCGCTGTATGACGATCTTTGGACTTAAATAACTGATTTTGAGACCCTCGTGCATTCTTGGTTATCAACTTTGGACATTAAGTCTTCCAGTGACCCTTTTCACGACAGAAGCTACACTCATTAGAAGCAACTCAACCTCAATATTTGTTTTGGGAATCAGAGGTTATTTTGGAAGGAACAGCCAATACAATCTGATTTGGCAGTGGAAGAAGACCCTTTCCAGAAAGGATTTTAAGGCGAACCTCTTTAACTAAGAGCTCTTTAACAATTGCATCCACTGAGAGGCGTGGGTGATGATGAAGAATAGAACCACGAAGTCCCTCGAAGTCATCTTTAAGGGCTATCAAGAATTGCACCAGTCTCTATTCTTCTCTAAAGGTGCGATATGTCAAATTAGTGCTCAAGTCAGTGGGTTCAGTAAGCGCTAACTGATCCCAGAAGTCAGTCATAACTGAGTAAAATTCTTGTATGTTTTTGTCCCCTTGGCGCGCATCTCGAATCTCATGCTCTAACTGATACCTCTTTGCAAAATTAGACTGAACAAAAAGTGTGACTAAATAATCCTAAATTTCCTTAACTGTGCTAAACTTGGATAGATGAACTTCAATGATCGGATCAACTGAGTTATTAATTCAAGTGATAATTTTTGCATTGTTGATATCCTAAGTACTCTTCAAAGCAGCATAATTTTCTACTTTAGTATCAGTTAGAGCCTGTGCAACACCACTAATATAATTCTACATGTCTTTCCCCAATAAAAAAATTTTCATAACAAAAGCTCAATAAACATAATTTTCACCTATAAATCTCACACCAATTGCATGAAGCGAATTAGAATTTCCACTTGCCATAGGTCAATAAAGAACGGGCACTAATAATTTGCAAGAATACACTCTAAGTAAATTCCAGTAACAACCCAAAGTCAACAAGTCAAACCAGCAAGTCAACAAAGCAAAACAATCAAAAACCAACCTAACCCGTAAAACCCAGCAAGCCAACAAAGAAAAACAACCAAAATCCAAAATCCAACTTGCCAGCAACAAGTCAACTGAAACCCAACCAGGTAAAAAGCCAACAAAACCCAACAAGCCAACAAAGCAAAACCCAGCAAGCCAACAAAGCAAAACCCAACAAGCCAAAAGTATTCCAAGAATTAAACAATCCAAATAACAAATAGACCAATAGTCTAAAATCAAATACTAACCCAACGAAGAAGCAATAGACCTGCAATGGCTACCAATGATAGAAACGAGGAGGCAGAAGGAAGAGAAGAGAGTCAAGATTCACCAACCCAACAATCGCAGAAGAAATCGGGCAGAAGAGTAGAGACAGTTTACATCAGCCCTCGCCCTATATTTGAAGTATCGATCAGTTTACATCAACCCTCGTTCAACCATCCACTTTGCTTATGATGAAGCCATTGTATTGTTAATCATATTTGGATCTTAACCCGCTCTGATACCATGATAAAATTGATCATAGAGAAGAGAAAGAGAAAATATATTAGATTAAAAGCAGGTCTGTAATACACTTCATAAACCTAGAAATACACAAAGTAAGTCTTATATAGTAGGGCAACATAACATAAAGAAAATGCCTAAACTACCCTTAGTATAAATACTCTAACAATGATCAGGTTAATATCGTTAATTAATTATTTTTTGTTAGGGTATTTTAAACAAAATAATATTTTTTATCTGGGAACTCAATCTCACATCGACAAAATTTCTAAAAGTACTTGAATATATATATATATATATATATATATATATATATATATATTATCTAGCTTTTGAGTTAAAAGAGAGACTTTGAAACTCTCACGTGTGCATAGGTGGGAGAAACAGAGGAGATAAAATACACACTGATCAACCTAGTTCACACCTGGGTGGGGAGTCCCCCAAGCTCGTCTAAATGAAATAAAATATTAACTAGTATTACACCCATTTTTTAATATTTTATTTAATTATTTTTTGTCATAACTCCTATATTAAAATTTCAATTTCTGAATACCAAAGGTTTTAACAATTAGTTTTTCAACATCTATTGTTTTATTTAATTTTAATGGTTATTATCTGCTTAAGTATGGAAGTAATTATGGAATATTAAACACCTACATTTTTTGTATATATATTTACATATTCAATATAGACATATACAATCTGAATATCTTATATATTCTTATTTATTGTATAAGTTTCTAAACAATATTGAAATGTGTAGTGTGAAGCTTCTGTTTTATTCGATTGTGCAGATTTGAATGATACAACAATCAATAGGCTGGACAGTTATCTTATAGGACAACACGTTATTATCTTTTGCACTGTGTTTCTTTCATAAAAGGGCATGAATCGTCTAGCAACCTTGATAGCTCATCATTGTATGGATTTGCTTTTGTTTTAGTCCCAATTTACATTAAAAAAACAAACAACAATGTTATGTGGATCAAAATTTCTTACCAATTTTTCAGTGATATGACACAGTTTTTACTATCAAATAAATAGATCCCATTAATATTCAATGATGAAAATTGTTTCACTGCCACACCACTTTGAATAAAAAACTTGGCAAGAGATTTGATAAAAATAACATTTCTGAAAAGTAAAACCATATTCAATTAACACATTTGTTTGTGTGTGTGTGTGTGTTGGGAGGGGGGGCAATAGTAATAAAACATTCCCTGAGATGACAAGAGGTATATAAATGAGGCCTTTGTAGGCCATGTTATGGCCACAGGAGCAACTTCCCTCACGAGACAAGAATGCAGGACATTATGTCTGCCGATGTGGTCATACATCTCCTGCAAATCAGGACTCAAAATACTGTATTGAAGCTGCACTGGGTGTCTAGAGGGAGATATATCTTCTGGTGCAATGGCCATGCTCAGAAATAGACACAGCAAGTCAAAATTTTCAAGGCATTCCTATAATGACTCCAGTTTGATAACACAAATTTCTAGGGTTGAAGTATTTTGAAGCGATGAGAATGTCAGAGCAATACCCCATTTGGACACGTGACCATGACATAGATTCGGGATGCATTAGGCATCGTGTCAGTGAAAGCATCTCTTCCAATACTCAAACTTAGAACCTTGAATTAGTAGACCAGCCCTTGCCATTTGAACTCCCCTAAGCAGTTATGTGTTTTGTTTTTCGAGTCTAAGAATGCAAGCTAACCGATGTAACGGAGTTGACAGACTATACCTGCACTTACAAATTATCATAACTTCACAACTTGTCTTAAAATTTTCATCCAACTTTCACCTACATAAGCTGTCAAATGGTCCAAATTTTAGTGTTCCGATTTCATTTGCAACTATAGTCATCCAAAACAAATCTTCTTCCATTCCATTCCATTCCAGCACCCTTCTGAAACCTGAATGCAGCCAATGTTAAGCAACTCAGGAGAAAATAACCAATCAAGATGTGTAACTCAACTTTTTGAACACTTCTTCCCTACCTGTGAACAATGCTCACATACATGTGGTAAAGGCTACAGTTTTCTGAACCAGTTGTTAATGCAAAAATAATGCAGCAAGTGTTCGAAGACCAAATTCTAAATGTATCAACCTCCTGTGAAACACCGAAAAATGCTAAGCAGACAGGTAAGCCAACCATTGAGTCCATAACAGACATCCTAGATATCTTTACATTAAGAAACCAATTGTAGGGCAAGTCCATGTATCATATAAAGAACCTATAAATGTATCACATTACTGAAGAAGTACATAAATAAGAAGAAATCAAGCTATAATGTTTGGTTCGGACATGTAATTTGTTCAAATATGCATCAATGAGATTGTGATCAGTTAAATTGGGGAACTTCATTGCATAGCAGCAACCACTTCTCCATATTCAGTAGCCCCTTCATTTTCGTATGGAAACTGCACTCTGTGCCTTCATGTTCTCAACTTTAGTTTTAAAATCAGTGTGGAAGGAGATGAGTGATCTCTGCCGACATGCAAAAGCAACACTAAACTGTTTGATCTCTTGTTCGAGATCTTTCCTCCTCTGTACTTCAGTGTTGAAATCATGCAAAACCTTTTCCTTTTGCTCAGTAACCTGTGCAAGTCTTTGAGATGAACTGGAGACCTTCTGGAGCAGAGCATCTCTTTCTTCTTTCAAATTATGGAACTCTCTTTCTAAGCTATGATATCTATGCTTAGAAACCTCGAGAAGCTGATTATTAATATTCATTTCTTTCTCCAAGCTCAGGTATTTTTCCTTGATTTCATTGACTTCATTATCCAGTTTCTCCTTCCAACAGGCAATTTCTCCTCCCAAAGTGCAGCCCTTAATCACATTCAAAAACTAAATCTTAAAATAAACAGAAAGAAACCTGCAACTCTTTAAAAAATTTAAGCTAAAAGAACAATTCTATCAGCTAAAAATGCTTGATGCCTTAATCACATTCAAAAACTGTCTGATTTATCACTATGCCTTCCCAAAGGGCCTCCAGGGATTCGTACCCAGGATTGGGATATGCAGCATCTTTTGGCATGGTGTTGAAGCCCGTCACACTAGTTATTTTTTGCTTATGAATCTAGAATCAACTCAGCAATGTTGCTTCAATCTGATAGCATTTGCTAGACAAGTATCCATGGGAATAAAAATAATCCTGTAAACCTAAAGGAAAGAAGTTCTAGAATATCGAACTATACTAACATAAGTGGAACACTTGTTGGTCTGACTTTTTTTCTCTTTGAGCATCAGTGATAAATCAGACAGTAGTCTACATTGGTTGTTACATTAAAGCAACTAGAAGCAAACTCTAGTTCTTTATTCCTAAGTATCCATGTACCTTCTTCCTTTTCACACAAAAAATAATCTCCTATTATCTATTCTTAAACCACATGAATGTACCGCTATGCATTCCTATCAACATATGTCTGGGAATCAGAGAACTTCGTAAAACAAATCCTCCAGATGTTGGACCACCTTCCTAGTTTGTCGTTTAACTACTTATGATATCAAAATTCTATTTTGCTTTCTTGGCTTCTAAGAGAATAATTTTTTCCTTCTACATCATATGTATCAGTACTTTTCAATGCTGGTTTCCCACAAATTACAATGACTTGACTCCAAATATTATAAACAGAAACATTACAAGGAAATGGAATCAATAAAAAAACACAAAAATACCCTGAATAATATCCAGTGAACAGAATCACCTTGTTCGAGGGTCAAAAAGCTCAAGTAATCTTTCACAGTCAATGTCATTCATCATAAGACGGGTGGAGATGATAGGGCCAAGAATGGCATGATTGAGAAATATCATAATTTGAACAATATTCACACGAGAGACAGTGGATGGTTATAACGAATTTCCCTTCAATTTGTATGGGCAGAATGAAGAAACACTTGCATAGAAAATTTATAATCTCAGGTAATTCCATTATTATTATTAAATCAACAACTGATCCATCAGAGGGATAAACAGACAAATAGCACAAACAATTAAATGTCATAAGTCTAAAAAGAGAAGATATAGTATCCAAAAATCAAGATGAAGAATAACATCAAAACTGAGAAGTGACATCTTGATAGTTGTGACTGAACAGCTACCTTATATCTGCAGCCATCATCCTTGAGAATTTGTGCATCAGATAACACCAAGGATGTAACTGTGCCGTTCAACCTTTCACAAATAATGTTGCATTGTTCTCGCACTGAAGATCTGTTCTCAGTGGAAGTCCTATGGTCATCCATAGCCATTGAGAAATGGCTTTCCAATGTTGAAAAAAGACATGTACCAATCTCACTTGCGCAAGAGAGCACTTTTGCAGTTGAAAATTTATCATCAGCTGCAAAATCCTGCTCAGATCACAAAACAAGATAAAGGGAATCATATTTCATGAACCTTCCTTGCAACAGCATTCATAATGGGAAGCATAATCCAAGTATTCACCTGTAAAACCGACAAAGCATCTTTGTATATGTCATTGCATTTTGACATTGATTCAAGCAGCCTTCCAGGAATTTCTCGGATTAGCAATGCCTCTCGCTGGATTTCTGATATTTCTCCCAATAACAGGTTGTTCAACGCTATTTGTTCTGCGTGGTTTCTCTGAAAAGTGTTAATCAATACATAAGCTAAAAATTGTATGCAAGAGAAATTACTCCTGCCTGGATAGGATGGAAAAAAGAAAAGAAGTCAATATCCATGACACAATTTCTATAGATAGTAATAGTTTAGATTTTACACACTGAACAAGCTAAATGTTAAAAAAATGTACTTGGTGGAAAAATAGATAACAACTAAGGTGGTAAGCAAAAATATGAGCAAATGAGCCTACAATTCTATTGCTACTCAAGACTTGGTTTAAATAACTCAAATCGACTCTGAATCTCTGGTTTATTAATACTTCATGTGGTGTGCAAAGATCTTACTGTATACTCCTTTTCTGCAAGGTGTCTCACTTTGTCCAGAAAGAACTACTAGCCTTTCCTGCCCTGAAAGTTTCTTTGACTAGGATATTTTGGCTCAGTTAAAAAGGACTGAAAGATTATGAATGAACGATAGTTCTGCTTTGCAATCTCAGTCTTCGCAATTCAATGTTAAATAATGTCATTGTTCATTTTATAATTAAAATACTAAAACATATTGTCCACAATTTTACCTTTCCTATAGTTTCAATCATAAGAGCACAGTATTAATTTAATACCATTTTTAGGGATCTAATGCAGGAAAATAAAACTAAAAAACAGAGAGATACACCAGAATTACATTTTCAAAATCGGCATTGGGCCCAAATCCATGCTAGTTTTAGTTAAGTTCACTTTATTCGTGGTACTTCTCTAGTACTTGCTTAATTTATCCAAAAACTCCTATTTGACTTATTTGACAGCAACACGTCTCCACATCCCATGTTAAGCTTTGTACATTTAAGGATCTAAAATTTACAAAATGTACGAATTGGTAGACTCGTGATATCCTGAATCAAATAGGCTCCATCGATTTTGGAAAACAAAACCAAAACAAAATTTGATTTTCAGAAATAATAATACATTTTTTGGTTTCAAATGAAATTGTTGGTTTTCTTTGGCATAAACATAATAGGAGGGGTGCATACGGAATATGTTTAAGTGTAGAAGATTAACAATATTAGAATTACATTACTTGTATTTATTAGAATTAGATTAACCTAACCCTCATATATTACTTGTATTTATAGGTAACTCATAACAAGAATTACACATACACTCCCTCTTGTATTTACACATAATACCCTAACACTATTAACAAATTACATATACTACCCTAATACTCTTAACACTCCCCCTCAAGCTGGACTATATATATTATATAATCCAAACTTGGAACAAATCTCTGTAAGACGTGTACGACTCAATGCTTTGATAAACATATCTGCAAGCTGATCTTCAGATTTCACAAATGGAGTCGTAATCTCCCCGGCTACTATCTTGTCCCAAATAAAGTGACAATCAACTTCTATATATTTGGTTCTCTCGTGAAATACCGAATTGGTAGCAATATAGATAGCTATCTGGTTGTCACAGAACAACTGTAAAAGAGGTTGAACTAGAAACTCAATTTCCTGGAAAAAGTGCAGTAACCAAGTCACTTCACTCGTCGTATGCGCCATTGCCCTATACTCAGCCTCAGCACTGGATCTTGCTACCACAGATTGTTTCTTACTTTTCCATGAAACAACGTTACCTCCTAAGAAAGTACAATAAGCAGTAGTTGATCTCTGATCAGAAGGAGAGCTAACCCAATCAGCATCTGAAAAATCTTCCACTCTAAGATGTCCATTAGCTCTATATAACAATTCAAGTCCAAGAGCTCGTTTAAGATATCGGAGAATACGAGTAATTGCCTCCCAATGTGGTACTCTAGGAGACCCCATGAACTGACTTACTATACTGACTACATAAGAAATATCCGATCGAGTAATAGTGAGATAATTAAGCTTCCCAACCAATCTGCGATACCGACCCGAATTCTCAAACAGTACACCATCATCTATCAATAGTTTTTTATTTGGATCCATAGGAACATCAATCGGTCTGCCACCCAACAAACTTGTTTCCTCTAACATGTCAAGTACATATTTCCTCTGTGATAAATAAATACCTTGTATAGATCGAGTCACTTCAATTCCCAAGAAATACCAGAGTTTTCTCAAATCCTTAGTATGAAATTAATCTTGCCAGAAAATTTTTAACTTAACAATCCCCTCAAAATCATTTCCAGTAATTACAATGTTATCTACATAGATCACCAATAGAACATATTCAGCATTCGTCCGTCTATGGAACACAGAATGGTCTGTCTAACATCGAAGAAAACCAAACTTTAAAACTGCATCTGAAAACTTACCAAACCATGCCCTCGATAACTGTTTCAAATCATACAAAGATTTCTTTAGCCGACATACACTTTTACCATACTCTCCCTGAGCAGTAAACCCAGTTGGCTGCTCCATGTATACCTCTTCAACCAAGTCACCATGGAGAAAGGCATTCTTGAAGTCTAACTGAAACTAGAGTCAATCAAGATTAGCAGCCAAAGAAATCAAGATACAAATAGAGAAAATTTTGGCAATAGGAGAGAAAGTCTCCTCATAATCAACACCATAGGTCTGAGTAAAACCTTTTGCAACAAGCCGGGATTTAAGACGCTCCACAGAACTATCCGAATGAAATTTAACAGTATACACCCAAAGACAACCAATAGTTCGTTTACCAAGGGATAAAGGAACAAGATTCTAAGTCTCATTATGATGTAAGGCACCCATCTCATCCTCCATAGCTTTTCTCCAACCGGATCAAATAATACATCCTGTAAATGCTTAGGATAAATATAATAGATAATTGAGAGGTAATACAAAAGAAAATAGGAGATAAGGCATTATATGAAACAAAATGAGCAATGGGATAATTAGCAACACATGAATGAGTACCTTTTTGAAGAGCAATAGGTAAAGAGTCTAGATTACCTTATGGGCCAGAATCAGAAGGCGGCAAGGAAAACAGTACAGACACCTCAGTCGATGATCGAGGATGACGAGAGTATACACGAAGAGGTAAAATAGACAGTAGCACAGTAGGCAACTGAAGATGAAGGAAGAGATGGTGGTACAAGAGGTGACCCAAAGTCTAGATCCAAAGGCTGAAAAGGTGCTGAAAAATATGGAACAGATTCCTCAAATGTGACATCAACACTAGTAAAGTATCGCTGCAGAGAAGGACTGTAACAACGATATCCCTTCTGTGTGCGGGAATAACCAAGAAATACACATTTGGTAGCTCGAGGATCAAGTTTATCAACCCAAGACCCAAATTGTGAACATAACAAACACATTCAAAAATCTTAAGAGGTAAGGAAAATAAAGGCTTACTAGGAAAAATGACAGAATATGGATTTTGCCCATTTAACACAGAGGATGGCATACGATTAATAAGGTGACAAGCAGTGAGGACATC